ATCATTCAGGCTTCTGCAGACCAGTGGACGACTGGAGAATACTACTACTGTGGTGAGAGCAGGCCGTGAGAAAATATGAGCAAGGCTGATTCAACAACCATCACAGCAAAGTTAACGTGGCAAAATATGATTCGCAGATAGAGAACTCATATTCAAGGAATCCCGAAACAACCAATCAGAAGCCTGCGTTTGTCTGCCTAACTTCTGATCAACCAATCAGATGACTGCGCCTGTCTATAATTGTATGTGAAATATGTATATACGTGTTGATTTTCATAATAAAAGGATCTGTTGCCTGGCCCTTCTTTGTTGTTACACTACTACTACTCTTAGAGTTGATGCTAAAAAGTGTTCTTCTCGAAGATGATGAAATTCTTCTCGTGAGGAGTTAGCAGATTAAGGCTACCTTGAAATCCACTTTCAATGTAAATTCCCTCTTTCAGTAGAAGCAATGTTTCATTTCTCTGAACTTTCAGTGTGATATTCTTATCAATGAATCTCTGCTGGTATTCTTTTTCGATGAAGATTTCTTCCAAAGGATCTCAGTCTGCTTCTGGAACGTTGAGACTACAGAGGCATCAGACCCGAGTGGCAAAGAATTTATTGAAGATTTTGAATTTCGTTCAACAAGTATGTCTAACTGTAGAAAGTCGTCAGTTTATTTATTCCATGTGAGTCTTCTATTAACTGACCTCCTTAAGCTTCCATCAGGTCTTCTTGTTAGTTCCACATCAAGAAAGTGAATTTTAGTTTCGTTTTCCATTTCAAGAATGAATTTTATTGCTGGATGGCAGTGTTTAAATAACTGTAACAATTGATTGGGTCATAAATATTGGTGCAAATGATGAAAAAATGTCAACTACGTACCTAGTATACAGTTTTAAATTATCAGTGACCAACTTTAATATAGCGCTTTTGAGAGCTAGCTACTAGTAATGGGCCCAAGGGAGATACCACTGCAATCCCATCCTTTTCTTTGTAAATGGTGTCATTGGAAGTGAGTTGTACACTAAGAGTACATCACTGCAGCAGTTCTTTCGAATACCCCTATTAGTATTCCAATGTTTAACTGATATGTATCCACATAATATGTGTGTTTTGTATTCGACAGTCTATTTTTTGCTATGTGTATATGGATCGATATTTCATTATAACTGACAATATGCTTTTGTCTGTCCACTAACTAAATAGACATGTATGACCCTGTTGTCACATGACATTACAACCAATCACGTTAAGACTGGCTATTTATTGGTTCATGTGTATTAGTCATTTTCATATATACTTTTGTACTGTACACTTGTTCATACTTTCCTGTTCTCACGTTCGTAAATTCGTACCGCTTGTGTGACATTTATTTTCCTTGTCTGGAAAGTCCAAGTATCAGCGTAAACCTGGGGGTCTTCTGATTTCCCTCTTTCGGCGTCAAGACTATTAACTAATCGACGAGTACATAACATAATTGGCGACGGGGAAAACCCTAATAACTCACTCATCAGCAGTATATAACATTAGCTGCCTTATATATCTATATATTTATACAAAAAACAGTTTCCTTGAATGGGACATTGGTGAAAAGTGATTCAATATAGAAAGATGGCATATTTTTTGTTAGTAATTTTCATCTCTTTCGAATGCAGTCGATAAATTGATAAGTATCATGAAGGTTGTATATATATGCATACATGTTTCCTTACGCGTTCCAGAATATCAGCCAACCCCTTTGCAATAGAATAATAAGGGGTAAGTGATGTGTTTTGAATTGGACAGAGTTGGAGACCGACTTTGTGTATCTTTCAGAAACCATGAAGTCTTGGTCCCGGCCAATAACTGCTACCTTGTCGTGGTGGTCGAGCTTGAATACCGTAATGACCCAACATGCTAAACTGACTGGGACTCTGTCCTTGCAGGTCCTACCATCTCAGGAAGGTTGTTTGGATAGCGGTTAAACTAAAAGCAGTTACCAAGGGGTACATGGGCTCCAGTATCCAATCGGATCAAATGGCGTATGAACCCATATGGGTCCGGGAAATCATGGGAATGCAGCTCCTGACGCTGCTCCGCTGCCTTGCGGATTAGACTCCAAGTCAAGGCTCCGGGGTTGGTCCCTTAATAAAACCACCTGCTTCGGTCTGGGCGCCGGGAGGTATCTCAGCCCTCACATTATGAATTGAATAAAGCAACAAACAATCAATAAAACTTATCGCGTGCTATTACACGTGTTGCAATTTCCTTCTTTTCCCTTTCCGATGATAGTTAACGAATACTGTCTGAACTTGTTAGGCATGACTGTTTTCCTTCCAGATGAAGTTCTTTATCCGTTCGCTACTATGTATTATTGAACCTGTTGGTCACAATACAGCTGATTAACCGATCAGTTTGCATTCTTTCATTCAAGACGTTCGTAAACTGTTTTTCAATCAGCTCAGTTCTATTTTGTTTCTTTTGTTGGAAGGTTGTCTGAGAATATATTCTTCATTTTCTCTATGTAGTCTTTGTGGAGTGATTGGACACTTCTTTATTTATGTGTTGAGGTAATGGTGACAATACTTTTCATCATATATTGTGTTTAGTCATTAGTAAATTCCGTTGAGGCACACTTGAACTCAGATTTAACATATATTTTTTAAAAAAATACGGGGGAAGTATTCAGAAATGAGTCGTCCTCAGCTTACTTCCTTAAATATAAATATTATACCGCTATTGACAATAAACACAGTCTAATCTTCTAGCATGGACGTATTATTAGATGGTTGGGGGGCAATCGACAGGAGACCTTGCTTGACCTACACTTCGTGATTATCAGAACTCATGAGGAAGGCTTATCTTCTCATATAATATCCTGTCTGAGATTCGAACCTGTGTCACCCAATGCTGCAGTCAGAGACATTAACACTGAGAGTTATTCCGGTTGGCAATTATAACCTCCTATAAAACTGTAATGTGGATACTTCGGTTGGACACTAGGTAGCAAGGTGTAACTAGTGTCACGCGTCTAGTCCTTGTTGTGTCGCTGCAGACTGAATTCTATCAGTCAACATGTCCAAAGCTTCCTGTAGATTGCCTCTATCGATTTAATAACAATTAATTTACGGTGCACCATGATGGCAAGTGGTCACCTAGACTAATGGCCACATTGCAAACTTGACTGGTAGAGTTCAGTTGGCACCAACACAACAAGGACTAGACGCATGGCACTAGTTACCTTACTACCTACCTACCTACCTAGGGTCTACTCAAAGCATAAAATTATGTCAGTATAAATACCCCCGCCCTCTTGTTTTATGATTAAAGACAGAAATACTTCAGATTTATTAAATGATAACAACACGTCAAAGAAATAAGAAATAACGATTATTCTTGTTTTTTATTATATGCACAAATGTAGACTTTCTTTTGTGTTAACAAAAAGTAAATTTTTGGTTTCATTGTGTAAATAAAAATATGGAATCAATGTCACGTAAGCTAATTTAAGCCTACTTAATTTCACACGGATTTCTCCTCAGATGCAAATTCTCAGTCCACATTTTGTTTTGATCTAGTGACTAGCATGCTTACACTGACCCGAAGACAATAAAGGCTTAATAAGAATGATGATTTAGGTCAGACCAAGAATTGATATCAATAAGAGAAGTATATTGAAAAACAGCTTAGAATACTGGACAACTGATTCATCCTAGCTCGGGACTCATTATCAGTACACACCTACCAGGTTTCGAACCCAGGGCCTTCCAGTTACAAAACAAGCTCGTAGATCATTCAGTCGCTGAGACCCAATTCAATGACTAGCATGATTGGTGATTTTAGCAACCAATATCATCGGCAGGAACTCCATCCATCACTCCCAACGATATTGGCCTCACTGATCACAACTGCCTACTAGAACTCCAAGAAACGCCGTCCTGTAGCAAGTCATTGTAGGAAAACACAGTGGGTGCGTGCTGCCGATGAGTCCCATATTAAGGTGAAACAGATGTCCAGTACTCCCCGGTTTACAATAGAATCCCTACAAACGAATTCTTGGAAATAAAAAATACTTCTATTACATCCAGAATCGCGTACACTTTAGCGAAATGGGTTATAACAATCCTGGATACATTGATACGTGAGTACATATTCATATTCTAAATAAAAGGTATTGAATAGACAAGCACATACATACACACAAAGACACGTGTATACGATGTAAAAGATCATATAATCTACATACACATATACAAAAAATGTGATTAACGATTCAATTCAGTAACATTATATTACCTAGAACACTATGGATATAAAATAGATATGATGAATTCACTTAGCAGTCGTCTTTCATTCACCACCAATTAGACTAAGTAAGGATGAATTCTGAAAACTCCTTACAACAAACGACTACAGTGATTTTGGCAGGTTATTTTTTCGCCTTGAAGCTGTACAAATAAGGTGACCAGTGTTGATCAGATGTTCAATTATCGCACTTTTTGTAGAACATCTCCCACCTCTCTCTTTAAATAAAGGATAACTTAATGTAGTATATTTTAAAGAACTACTATTGAGATAAACATTGAATGTATAATTTACATTCAATTATAAAATTTGCAATTTACGTAATTATCATGGAATCTACTTTGGGTATTCTTGGTGACTGTTTTATGACCAGTCTATAGAATGGTTAACTGAAGTCATCAATTGAAGATTTTCAATGGAAAACTCACCGAAACCTTTGAAGTGAAGACAGGAGGAGTACAACAAGGCTGCTTACCTATCATCTACGACATTGATACGGAAGATTGTGGGGAGCAAAAAGACAGTCCACAGGTGTCTAAACCACTGGAACTAGGCTTCATTACTTGTTGGGAAATTAACGCGAAAACTGTACTGCTTGACTCGTGTATGGAAGAAAATAACAAAGATAAAGCTTTGCTTTCAACTTAATTACCATTAATATATATATATATGACATACAAAGTGCATGATTCATATAAGAGAAAAAAAACCAGCTATAAAATGCAACCTACCAAGTTCATTGATGACTTCTGGTGTTGATAAAAAGTAACCTTTAGGAATACTTGTCTGTCGTAACAGTGTAGAACTGCATGTTGATGGTAACTGTAAGTGTTTTAATGCTGGCATTCTTCTTTGACGAGAATGGTGTTGTTGTTGCTGCTGTTGTTGTGGTGGTGGTTGAGATACTGTAGTGGAATTGCCAGAATCATCTTCACTAATTTTCATTTCATTCGGTTCAGTTTCCACTGTATTTGAACTATCACTATCGTTGTTATGGTTACTCCTACAATCATTATTACTATTATTATTGTTATTATTATTATTAGTATTATCATTCTCTGTAAGATGATTGTCATGGGGGGTATTGGCATACATTTCTGATGTTGTCACCACCACCGTAGTAGAAAATGATGTTGACAGTGAAGCCGGTAAACCGTCTAAATCAATTATTTCTGGTAGTGTTTGAGAGGAAGCATCAGAATTTTTAACCGGTAAATTTGATGTCACAGGTATTGAATTATTTGAGGTAACACACTGGGGATTCATATTAGTCTTCGTTGGTACAGTAAGAGATGGAGCACAAACTATTGTTGTCGTTGTTGCAGACTACAAATACATTTAGAAAAAAAAAGTGTACAATCAAAGCAAAGAAATTCAGAATTAAATTTATAAGGAAAAATGTAACAAATAGTGTTAAACTTCACTAGTTTCTGTAGGCCCAAGCGAGAAGGGTAACTATCCTCCACGATTAACTGAACTTCACTAAGTTATCTACAACCTTATAGTTGTAAAGTGTGGATGCGGAATTCGGATAGTGTGGTAGACATATCCATTCACAGGGCATTGAATTCTAGATCACATGGCTGTGAATAGTCAACACTCTTGGCCTTCTAACCTGAAGGTCTCGGATTCGATCTCTAGTGGGATCATGAGGGGGTAGACTACTGAAGAGTCACAAACTAGGACGAAACAACTGCCCAGTACTCTCAGCTGAATTTCAGTAGTTCTCTAACTGACATTAGTCCATCATCAAACTTGGAACAAATCAAGACCCTACACAAAATAACACTTAAGAATTCTGTATCGTATAAATGTTCTTGATATAATATGCAGTGATAACTGGACGATGTTCTGAGGACAACTTATTGCTGATAATCATAACGAGTTAACAATCTACAGGTGAGCTCAGACATCCCAGTGCATTTACTCGCATATAATCATACAGCAGGACCGGACAAGGTAAGAGTATTATATATATATATATATATATATATATATATACTGAAATAGCTTACATTTTGAAGACTGCTCATTGAATTTGATGTAAAATGATTGATATGACTTTCATAGACATCAGATATATAATCATTCATTTTTCTATGCAGTTCTTGTGTTCCTGAATAGCTGTGTTTATTGGTCGATTGTGGAATACTATGAAGTTCATGCCGAACAGCTGCTGTGAAAAATTAAAGGAAAAGAAAAAATTTTAAGTATATTAAATAGCACAGGCTATATACAACAAAATGAAAAATACTACAAATTAGCAGTAATAAAGCTTAGAATTAATGTATAGCAAATTATGATGGATAGTTTACTAATTATATTCCCTTATATATTCTAAAAATGGCGAAGTTAAACTAACTACCAATCAGCAAATTATCCAATGAGATTCACGAACGTAGTTCAATGTTGTAGAGCGCTTGATTCTTTCCTAATGCATGACCTTACAAGGTTACGGTTGCAATTCGAGGAGGACAGTGTTTTTCAGTATTGCCTGGATTTAGGGTTGCTCCGGAAGAAGCGAACGTTTGTGTGGTTGTATCATGACTTTAAAAAGCTATAGCAGATCAACTGATGGATTTGTTCATCGTTGTGCTATAAGTTTGAAGCGTGCTAGCATTAAAGAGGGTAAGCTGATAATTTTAATATTTCGTAGGAACTTTTTTCGCTAGGTCGCATCTCTCCCTAACCCAGATTTTGTATATCTGCAACTACTGGGTGTTGAAACAGCCGGTGAAAGCAGCAGCTGCCGAGAATGAGAATAGTCTCGTCTCAACAGTTTAGTGGTACCAGCATTGCAGAGATATTGCTTCGTGTAAAATAGAGAAAATCACTTGTTTGCTGGGTGGATCCCGTTACGAGGACTCATACGAATTCCATTGAAGGTTTTTGGGGCCGTTTGAAAAACAGGATAAGGGCTATAAATGGATCTCAAAAGGATCTCATGTATAGGTATTCAGAAGAATATAAGTACAGGATGTGGTGTAACTTCTCCATTGACAGTCACATGCTAAACTGGGAGATGTTTCTCTCACTATTCAAGAAAGATACCCCTTGTAACCGTTTTATCCTTTTTTATGCTTTTTTCTATAAATATACGTTTCCATTCATCATATATGCCTATTTAAGGTCGTTCGCTGATTGGTTGTTAGTGGTGTCGAAAGTTTAACTTTGCCCTAAAAATGGAACTCACGGCCTCAACAGAACATCGCCGTTTTATTATTTTCTGCTGGTTCTGTGGTGAGAGCTGGCTGTTATCCAAAATTAGTGGACAGTAATTTATGTCAATGTTTATGTCCCAAATATTGGTCGTGAGAAAAATGAGAACAAGGGCATTGAGTAGGCGGATACAGTTAACATATAGATGATCTGACATTCAAGAAACAGCCACAAAGAGATGTAAGGTTAACTTTCTGTGAGAAACAGCCAATCAGAAGACTGTGTTTTTCTGCTAACAATAATCTATAATTGTTACATGAAAAGGTATAAATATGTGTTGATTTCCTTGATAAAGGATCTGTTGCCTGGTTCTTGTCTTTTGTTGTTACAGTTCTACAGTTACCATAAAACTCTCGTCTCCTCCTCATATAATTTCCTTAATGTCATCCTCGGACCCATGCCCAACGTGCTGTTTCCCCTTTCGGGCTCCAACTGAAGGTCTAAGTGGCTTCTGATGTCACTTAACGATCTCCTCACTGTGTGCCCAATCGACTTTCATTTTCTCCGGCATATCTGTTAAAGAACAGGTTCTTGGTTAGTGTACTGTGAGAGTTCCTTGTTACTTGCTTAACCCCTTTCAGGCTGGTTCATCAAGGTATTGAGCCATCACAAGTGGCTGTTGATAAAAGTCTACAATTTCCAATTGGAAATGCTTTTTGTAATCAATCCAGAAAGACTATGAACCATTTGAACAGACTGACTTGACATGAGTGTTAAAAGCTCGAATCTTGTTCTTTACGGGGTGCACAAAATATTTTCGCACTGATTTCAGAGTAATGATCACTTGTCGTGCTTCGTCGATCCTTCTTGGCTTTGACATCGCTTATCTGTAGCATTTGTGGTAGAAACGATGCTGTCTAAAAAAGTGAACGATGTGAATTTCTTAAATTTTATCCTGTTGATAGTGACTGGTGCTTGTGTCTTTCTTTTGTTGTCGGCTGGTTATCTTCATTATCTCTTTCTTCTCTATGTTTTCTTGAAGTCTTGTATTCACACTGTTTCTTTCTAGCAACTTATTTGTTTTCATCTATTGATTTTCGAGTCCGAATCTTCTACAGTCTTCTCATCGATCCAAAATATTCTTGTCTTCTCAACTCCTCACGGCAGTTTGTACGATTCAGTTCACCATGATTAGGAATATACCCACCGGTGATAGTATGCAGTCTTATTCCTGACTTCAAAGCCACCGCTAAGTTTTGCACTGTGAATCACTTGACATGCGGCATTATCATACAACTGTTGAATGCGGTTTTCAAGGTTGGGCCACTCCATAATGTGCTGCAGCAATTTCCGAATTACTGTCAAAGGCCTTCTTCTCTGTTCATCAATGGTAATGCATAGCGTTGCAATTTGGTCAGTAAATGATTTGCCTTTCCTGAATCCAGCTCCTTTTGGGTGGTATTTTCAATCCAGGGCATGTTTTAGTCTCTTCACGACAACGCGATTTAATATCTTGCTTGGCGTTGACAAGAGCACTCACGACAAGTATCCGAATCTATAAGAATACTTTCGGTATGCTGAACACCTATAAATAGATTTTTGACATGATACGCATCATAAATGAACGACATAGTGAGTATGCTGATGTTTCCACTTCTTATTATTATTCCCATGCGTTTCGAGTGGAACACAGGGCTTCAACAACACATCTCCACTTTGTCCTATCTTCTACCGTCGTCTTCAACTAGGTCCACGATTGACCATAATCTGACCCATATAAAAGAACTGACTAACTTAACAATTGTGTTGAAAATCAGAATCTTATTCCTTATGCTGAGTGCAGAAGATTTCCATACTGGTTTCTGGTTGATGAAGGTGTATCTTGCCTTTCCGATTCTGGCTGCCTTTGACACCTTCATACGTTCCACCTGTAGTTGAAACGGTGCTTGCTAGATAAGGAGAGAGGATAAGGTGGGAGCTGTCTGCTGACCACAATTGGTAGACAGCAATTTACGTCAATATTTACGTTCCAAATCTTGGTCATGAGAAAAAACAAGAACATAGTCTAAACTTGAAGAACTCAACAACCAATCACAGCACACTTAGCGTGGGCGGACACGATTAGCAAAAATATCAACGGACTGTCTAAGAAAACAACCAATCAGAAGACGTCACCTCTCTGCTAACAATATCGAATAATAATGTATAAATATCTGCTGATTTTCTCAATAAACGATCTGTTTGGCTGGCCCTTGTCTTCTGTCGTTAAAAAGATGTTTCCACTTAAACTACCCAAAAGACAACTTCTTTCTTACAGAGTTCATAATCGTATATTTAAAAAAATTATTTTAAAGGGAAATTAAAATATCTAGTAAAAGTAGAAAAGCATGTGTTTTGAATGAGGAAGAACAACATCAAAAGTGCAGCTGGATACTGCCTACTGTCTCTTTCACAATCATCGTGACATAACAACAACAACATTCAAAGTGTCAGGTTTTAAAGGATAAGAATACACGAAAATCACAATTCATTGTAGTCATTTTTGTCACTTTGACGTGATTGAAGTCAAAAGATTCTTCAGTCGATCAAAAGTATAGAGAAATAATGATCTCTAGGACTGAGATATTAATAATTTTATAGAGACATTATCGCTTACTTTATTAAAACCATGGGATTCATGGCTGGCAGGACTAACCATTTCAAGGCTAAAGATTTACTTTCATTTAAGCTGGAAGATTTAATTTCATGTTTACTCCAGAACTGATATATCAGTTAGACAACTAGTGAAAGTCAAAGAGTACTGGACAACCGTTCCATTCTAGACTAGGACTCCTATGTAGTATGTACCCATGACGCCATCGAGGATAGGACTCAGGGCTTTCAGATGACGAAGTGAACCCGTTGTAATTTAGCTACTGGAATGGAATTCACTCTAATCCAATCTATGAATTCTAACTTCAGACAATTCATAGATGACAAACTACGTTCAGGGAAGAAAATAGGATCACCACCAGTGTTTGGATCACTCGTTAAAGTCCATAACGTGCAGTGAAAACTGCATTAAGCACACAAAAAATTGAAAATGAGAATAAAAGATATGCTAAAAGCACTACCTGCAGTGAAGTCACAATGTGAACCTGACAGTGAATATTATGTAAATAAATATTTGTTGTGCTATTATTATTATTTTAAAAGTTTTGTTCCAATCCAATATAAAAAAGAAATTAGTCAAGACACTGATCCACAGAGCAGGCAAAATTAGTTCTGACAGTACAAATGAATATGAAATGACGACTCTGTAAGATACTTTATCTAGGAATGGATACCAGCAATAAACACTAAAAAAAATGAGCTCCACTAAAATTATCCAAACAGTTCCAAAGAAATTCGCAGTTAAAAGAGGAATGATGTACAAGAAGTAGTAAAACGAAGACTCGATAAAGCCATCAAAAGAACCTATCATGCTGCAAAACTTGTCTTCTTTAACACCACTAAGCGAGTGCTTCAACAATCTGAAAAGGTTAGTCGACAATTTTCGACACTTCAAACTGTGTATATCAATTTTAGTGTGTTTGTGGAAGCAATTGTATAGGTCGTACAGAAAGGCAATTGTCTACTCGTATGACAGAGCATTTGCCAAGGTGGTTGAAAACAGCTGAGTGCAAAATGCCAGAAACTAAATTACGAAGCATCTTATGACTACAGACGTGATATTGACGCTATCAAGTCATTCACTGTTTTTTTCAGCAAACAAACAAACAGGAAGATTTCATCATGAGCTGATATTAGTTAGAGAACCATTGGAAAACCTGGGAGTACTGGACAGCTGTTTCGTCCTAGTTTGGGACTCTTCAGAAGTACGCATCCACCGGGGTTGGAACCCAGGACCTTCTGGTTACCAGGGTGGCGAGCTCGTAGACCACTAAACCACTGGGATCCAATGCAATGGACAGCCGATGAATTCTGTTTTCTGCCAATTCACGAAATAGCGCGACCCCAGCCAATGTCTTCGGC